AATACTGGGATCCTTAACTACTATCAGGGTTTCTTAAATGGTGATCTCAAACTGCGAAACTAAATCTTAAATTGAAAGCCCATATAGTCGAAACCCCGGAAAGTCTAAGCCTGCCCAAGAGAGCCAGCTGTCTTTGTTGCCAGCCGTGATCCCTAGGAGCCAGCCGTCGCTTGAACGTACCCAGGACATTTTGGCCAGAATCGATCCATTGAGCAAAGCAGCCCAAAATCAGCATGCTCTGAGCAACGCTGAGACGAGTCTGGCTTTGCCATCGGAGGTTCTGAACCCGAGCCCAAGCCAGACCATGTCCCCCAAAAAAGCACTGGAGAAAGGCAGCCCCAAGAGTCCCAAGAGCCCCAAGAAAACACCGAAGAAAGGGAGCCCCAGCAAGAGTCCGAAGAGCCTCAAGAAAACACCGAAGAAAGGGAGCCCCAGGAACCGAGGGTTCAAGCGAAGCCGCAGTGCGCAGTCTACGTCTTCCGACAAATACTCGGATGGGACCTACTGGAAGAACCTTGCATATTTAACAGTTACGCATGTTATGCTGCTCCAGGTTTTGATCGCACTAAGCCCTCACATCCAAGGATGCGCCGGCACTTCACTCCAAATTCCAAAGGGAAGATCACCGCAAGCGAAGCTGCCCAGAAAATGTACAGTCAGCCTGGAGGACGTTGCCCGACTCATAAATCATGCTATAGCAGCTATACGCTATCATACCCCTAATTTGAAAATAATTGTTGCAACTTAGGTGAAGAGCTGAGACGTATGCTCCTGGAGTATGGATCCATGGACTACGTGGATACGCTGGTCCAGAAGTGGGCCAAGGAGGAGGAGGAGGAAAGACTTGATGGAGGGTGGCACACGGCGGTTTCTCTGGGGAACATGAACTGGACAGAGTTGCTTAACCTAATTTAAATGGAATTTTTTGGGCGAAACCTTTGAACTCCCTAAATGCCCCCATCTCATAAGCAAGGGAGATGATCGCGAACTCCAAGAATTGGGCGAGAGCGAGAAACTTATTGCGCCGAAATGAAGTGCACGGAGCTGATGAGTGGCGCATCCCCACCCAAGAGAGCTTCAGTCATACGAACACCCGCGGGCACTCTGTGAACATGAGTGCTAACATTGAGCTTGAGGACAGATCGATAATAACATAAGCCCACTAAGTTAGCCAACCCGAGAGCCCCTGAAAAATTCAATGTATAGGATCCCGAAGCTTCGATCCTCACGCCTCTGGCCAATGCTGATGATCTGAAGAAGCTGCTCGGTCAGACTCTATTAGAACATTTAAACGTGCATGGTCATTGGGCACCAATACGTACATTAAGGAGAGGGGCTGCTGTGGATGCTCGAGCGATGCAAGTGAGTGGCGCTGGGGGCGCCGCTGCCAATAAGGGCAAGAGCAATTTGCAGCTCCCAGTTCTCCAAGAGAATTCGGACCCAAGCAGTGCCTTACCTGAACATCACCCTGTGGCCTGGGTTCCCCCTCTAAGAGTTATTGAATGATAAACTTTATGCTGCCCCCCTACCTCAAATCAAAAGCCACAATCCCCTGAGGCCTTCTCCCAACGTACATTGATGTTGTCGGCAAGAAGCTTGACAAGTGCTCTGAAGAGAAGGACCACACATATGTTGTTGTAACGCCTACCCCATACTAAGACTAAGCCCTATATATACCCCCTGAACCCTGACTGTGCTGCAGGAGAGGTTGGAGAACATCGGCAACGAGCGCTCCAAAAAGCGGGAGGGATGGGTCTGGTACTAAGGGTGCTATAGATTAGCCAGGGCTAACCTACACTATGTAGGTTTATGGGATTTATGGGGTTTATATAGGATTTAGGGTTATATATATATATGTATGTATATATAGGAATAGAGGATAAGGCATTGGCAACAAGCTTGCTCAGAAAAGTGGGAGGGAACGGTCTAGTACCAATTGGGGCACTTAGATTAGCCGGGGTTAACTTACATATTGTGTACAGGGATTATTGTTTATCTAATACCCCAACCAGGATTGTGGTGCCTGCCACTGAAGTTTGTATTAACCAACTACAGGAGAGGAGTTTCCAATGGAGGGGCATTTAGAACCCTAGGGTATGTATGCACGGGGTATATATATATATATTTAGGCCATGTATATATATATTACTATATATGGGTATAGATGATGTTTTTGTAAGGCCCCTCCATGGAAATTTCCCTCCACTTCAGTGTAAATGGCTAGCTTATTGCCTTCGCAGGCTGGCGAAAGAAATTGGTGGGCACGCGAACATCTACCAGGGCATTTATGATAAGTTGGTCGAGACGCAGGGGGACATCATGGAGAACCCTTCGAGGCCAAACCCTAAACCCCTAAACCCTAAACCCCAAAACCCGAAACGCCTAGACCCTTAACCCCTATCACCCTATAAACCCCTAAGCCCAAAACCCGAAACCCCTAAACCCTTAACCCCTATCACCCTATAAACCCTTATATAACCCTAAACCCTAAACCGAATGTAAGCAGTCCTCGATGTAATGATTGGGATCGCCCATCGATGTAGCCCAGGTCCTGGAAGCAGGAGCTGGTCAAGGTTGTTGTGGAAGCCTCGAAGGCTGATGTTGCGGTGAACAACATGTTGTCACGAGCCAGGCCAGGGTAGGTGTCTCAGTACGTATTTATTAATGTAGCCAGCACGCTGTGAAGTTGAGTCCGTGCATGCAGGGGAATCAAGAGTCCGCCAAAGAAGGATTCCAAGACAAAGGGCAAGGTAAAGGACGGGAAAAAAAAGGAAGATAAGCATATCAAGCATGTTGAGAAGAAGCGTGGCAAAGCCACCAGCGGCAAGAAGCCTGCTCCCAGCAAGAAGCGCCGAATGTTGCGCTAAATGTTTTGTGGCAGCGAGCCTTCAAATTTAGGGGCCCCGGTTATAGCAACCATACTGTGCAGTGCTTGGGGCTCGCAGCAGGACTAGTCACATGATCGTTCCAGCACGAAGGGGAACTTGTGCTGCAGAAGCCTATGCTAGACCGCGCTTGGCACCATCAAAACGTGTGTGCAGCTAGCAGCTAGCTGTCCTTTGCAACATCAGCTGTTGCACCGAAGTTGATCGTGATTTCCCGCCGCCTTGCATGCCAGGCTCACGTACACTGAAACGGCTACTTGGGAAGATTCCTGGAGGCGATTCCTTGAATGGGTTCGTCTAAGATTTCCATGGGCAAGCCTGGATGTGCCAACCAGACCGGCAATATAACATGTCAACAGCAATTCGATCTTCTATTTGCATATATATATATAGGTTATAATGTTTATAAATATATATTATATATATAGGCTTATAATTGTACCTATATATTGCTACTGACAGGTTATTTTGCAGGTCTGTTTGGCACATCCTCAAAGGGTGTAGCTTCTCCATTACGGGTTGTATTATTTGGGGATCGGCACCTTATAAGGAGTCCAAGGGTTCATCTACTAGTGGGTTCTCGCAGCCTATATCGGGACCTGTAGCTATGTAAATGTGAGCTCTTAAATAAGCCCGGCCAACACCAGGCCACATGGAGCTTATAGGCTTTACTTGGGTATAGGGGTTTACCCTTTGCATGGGGATATATAGTCTGTCTGACCAGGCCGACTCAGCAAGGCGAACAAGCAAAATTGCGGAAATGATTTTCCGAGTTCGCAAAAACCGAATCTTATCTTGCAATTATAGTGCTTGCATGCATATGCATGCATGCATGCATGTGTGCTGACTTGTTCTATATGGAAACTAAGGAGGGAGAAGTGATTTGCTTCACAGGATAGCGAAAGCTGGAACAAGCCGAAGCAATGTTTGTCGAAATTTGCACCGCCTGCTGAAAAGGAGTGGAGCCCAATACCCCGTTCCATTGACTACCGTGCCGGTGAGCATTAGACTTCGCAAGCCTAAACCTCATTCTGAAGTCATTGATTGGCCTATCATACGGATCTCGGATTGGGCCCAGGTCCTTCTGCAGATGAACCCGAAATTCCTTTTGGGAGGTCACAGAATGGAGGATATCGATGGTTGGAAGATGATGCTCTGCACCTTTTGGGATATGTACCGTATGATAGATGAACAACACCCAATGTACTGCACCTCAGACCATCCTCCTCCATCAAACACAATCCCGTATTGTCTGCGTGGCGACGAAGGGCGGGGACTCCGAAACAAGCCTTTCTTAGTGGAATCCTTCCAAGCAGTAATTGGACTTGATGGGTTGTTTGGCACCAACGAATCTGGGCATCTAGGCACCCATATAGTACAGCACTTAAAATTGTTAATGTGTTGATTATGCGATGCTACTGATAGAGACCCCTTGCAGCAGTTAGCCCCCATTAAGGCATTCGTTGACAACGCGTTTCTTGACGTGCTGCATATCATCCCACCTCTTTGACAACGACCAGACCCTGTATGACTTGCGCAGCGCCGTGGCACATGATGCTAGAGAAGCTTTCCACCAGGGAGTAGAAGAGACTAAGTTGCAATATGATTGACTCGCTGTGCTCCAAAATGATGATATACATGCAAGTTCATTTGCAAACAGCTTTCGCCAACTAAGGTGGATGGCATGCACTTCCATATGGCTTGTATTGGAGGGAAGGGAGATTGGAAATACCTCCGCCAGGCCTCACCTTTCATAAACCATTTCCCAAACAAACCGTTTAATCCCCCTAGCTAGCTTTCTTATATCATAGCTCCCCCAAATCCTAAACCCTAAACCCTAAACGGACAAACCCGTCCAAATTTGATAAACCCTTAAATTCAAACTTGGCCAGGCGTACCATCTGAAGACTGGGTACACGTCGCTCGACAAGTGCCACCTTTGCGATGCCACCGTAACATGGATGGTTTTCAGAGCTACATGTAGCGTTTTGGGGTTCAATAGGGTATAGGGTGAATAGTGTATATGTCGACATCATATTTACCTTACAAGTACCAGCTTATAACAAAATTTAGCTTTTCTGGTTTAAATTGTGGGGCTCTATGGCTGGGTGTCAGGATTGGCATGTGCTTTCTTCAAGGGCGAATTGGCGCCGCACGATTGGGGCCCGGACATCCACTCCCCACAAAACTGCTGATCACGACATTCCCCTCTTGACCATTCCAGGAATGAGGACAAGTACAATTTTTTCGGACCCAATGCATACGTTTCACCTAGGCTGGGGCCAGGACCTTGCAGCCTCTGGGGTTTGCATGTTGGCCTACTTGGAATACTTTGGGCTCGGTGCGCTTGACACTCGGATGCAAAGGGCCTATGAGGCCTTTGTGGAATATTGCACGGCCTCAAGAAAAACGACCTCTTGTGACAAGTTTTCCAAGCAGTGCTTTGACATGAAGAGCCTTGGTTTCGCCAAACTTGTTAGTTCAGCTGTTAGTTGAGCTTCTCTACTTTATAAGGATATGGGTTCCTCTATCCCTGGCTTTATTTGAGGAGCAATAATGGTTGGCCAACTTCGCTTGGAGGGAAAGCACACGACACTGCTCTGGTTTTGGCATGGCTCGAGAAACACCTTGCAAATGAAATCTCTGAAGCCTATCCGCAATTCAATAGCTGTACTTGAGATATAGCTAGCTATTTCGCCAAGCAGTAGAAGTCTCATCCAACTATAAGGACAACAGCGATCCTGCTGTCCAGATCTTGTACTACACGGTGAGATGCTCAAATTATTATTTTCGCTCGCTTCGGGAGCACGGGGTGTTCGTGCCACACGACTGCAGAATCTTGATTGCTGCTGCTGGCCAGGACATGGTTGTCCCTTAGTCCTATAGTTAGGGGATGGCTAACTATATAGGTTTGAGCAGTATAAAAGTAGTTCTTGGTTATCTGGGGCCGGGAGTATTAATAAGGTTATTAAAGGGGATGCTGGGAGTCTATAAGTGTACAGCTCAAAGGCTGTAATTCCGGTTTTGGAAGTCCTAGATTCCTACCAGGTTTACGAATATAAGTTTTTTGTCCTACTAGCTGGGCCTTATCTAAGGAGGGATACGGTCTTTTGGCAACAGCTGTGAAGAAGAGATCCTGGAAGCTGTTCAAGTTGCGCCCAAAGATTCATATGTCCCAACATCAGAGTTTGCTGCTTCTACAAGGTGAGGACCTAGGCTTCAACGGTCTTTGCAACCTGTCCGATCTATTTGATCTGCAATTTTGTCCGTGAAACTCTAGATTTTGGATTTGGGCCCGTAATCATGATTGTTATCAGCTAAGGTATGGCCTGCTGGCTGGACGAGGATTATATAGGTCGTGTGTCCAGACTTGCTAGATCCTGCGGCCCACAGCGCTTGACCCCCAGGTGTATGGAAAAACTCCTTGGGCTTTACAAAACCCAGCTGGAACGCGGATGAAAAACTGAGACTGCAACTCATGCGCTGCTCCGGTCTTGAAGAGGTCAATCATCACATCAGCAGGTCATCATATTAGCAGTTGAATGGGAACTTTGATCCCAGCCCCCACGACCTATTCTCAAACATTCGTATTATAAAATTTTGGGTTCAACCCGCTTCTTGGGCAAACGAGAGGTTTCCATGGATTCGCACAAGAAAATAGAGTCAAACCAAAACGAGAAGAAAAAAGCCAGCAATGGAAGAACCAGGACTGCTTAGGCCCATGAGTTTGAGTTTGACGGGCGCTTCAAGCCCGGAACCTCTGACCCCCTAAGCCCCGAAGCCCTAAACCTTAGCGAACACTATATGAGCTGTAGTCTAAACTCCTTAAAGAGGGTTATACAGGGGAGTGTTCTAGGGGTTACTAAGGGGTATATTGGGAATTCAGACAAAAGCTCATATAATCCCATGATTTAGGGTTCAGGGTTATAGTCCCAGTGTCCCTTTGATTTCCATTTTCGTTTGACATTGCTTCTCCATCACTAAGGTCGTTTTCCCGAAGCCATCTCTACATGTGCATATACAAATATTTTTCGACCCTGTATAGCCCCATAAAAAAACCCCACACCCTAACCCCTAAACCCTCCACCCTAAACCCTTAAACCCTAAACCCTAAATAGTAGTTTCCATTTTCTTTTCCATAACCCCTGTATAACCCCTAAATAGCCTTTTTAGGATCAACTAGGGTGATGTAGCTTAAAGCCATCCTCGAACCCCTTGAGACGGAATGCTTACTTCAGGCTGCAGGCGACTGGAAGGTTTACTCCGAGGTGAAAACGTTCTCGGGGTTGAGGGTTTAGGGTGCATGGTTTAAGGGTTAGTGTGTTAGGGCAGGGTCTCTGGGTGTGGGTTGAATGTAGACGCTTCATAAGGAGATATGTACATGCTTATGGTGCTCCAGGCTTTTTTTGAACACAGGCTTCTGGGATGCAATGTGGAACCCACTAGGTTTAGGGGTTAGAGTTGGGCAGGAAAGGGTTTGGGGTTGGCAACTGATGTAGGGGAAGCTCACCGTCACAACAAGGTAACATCCCAAAGTCATCTAGACTTATCATAAAGACTGGGGATTACTGGTGTTTCGTTTAACTTCGCGTACCTAATGTAGAAGCCTGAATAGCCATGCCCGTTTTGCTGGTAACTTAAGCTTTACCCGGTACTACTAAACGGACACCTCACAATCAATAGCATGCCTCACGTTGTGCCTGGGGTCTTGTGCTCTTTATTCTACGTATTCAGAGGCGTGCTTGCAACCAGACGTGGTATTCTACGCCCTAAACGTGAAACGGCGAAATGACATTTGTTTAAGAGGTCCTTTGAACACTTCTCGCCATCATATTGTTGATGGCTGAAATTCGCCCAGGCTAATCTTCTGGTAATGTATTGCATCTTAAGGTTCCATTGTACTATTATGTAGATATATATATATATATGCTATATACTACATACCACTCTATGTCTCAGTATACACGATCCTGTAGTATAGTGTACTATACTATGCTATACTATACTTAGGGTCATGCAGGCATTGTTCCATCCACTGAAGGCGTTTAGGAGTGCATTCGGTCTGGTTGCGCACATCGCCACAAGAAACGAGACCACATTTATAGTCTACTTTCCCCTGTTGCCCTGTCACTATGAAGTGGCCTACTGTAACAAGGTTTCCCAGTAGGGCATTAAAGATGTACTAACATGGCCGCTTTGACTACCTGTCCGGTTTCTGGTACATGTTGTTGCTACTTTTCAAGTGCAGGTAGTAATAATGCTAAAGGATTAATACCGACCCCCCACCAGTATTATTACATCTTCGCATAGTACCTCCATGTAATGGAAGAGCATGTGCATTATTGGTGGGGTCTAGGTGTACACTAACTGGGGTTGGGGTTAAGGATCTTGAGCTATCTGACCATCATATGGGTATATAGTAAGTACGAGAGTTTCCTTACAAGAGTAAATTGATATCAGTTGCTTAACAGCAACCCAGTTGTTGGGGGTTGCTGGACACTGAAAGCTGGTCCCGCGACCGTTCGTCAAACCTTTAAAGAGCCCAACCCTCCCCACCGTACTACCGCCCCCTCGCAAGGAAATCCACAACATTACGCTGAATTGCTGTGACAGGGGACGTCTACACGCACAACATGGGGTTTTGTCGGAGATTCGGAAGACGCCCTTGGTCAGTTGATGTTCGCTGTCGGCTTTTATATTTGACGGTTGGGTAGTTTCCATACATGGAGGGCCCTCATATACTAGAATCCACATGACAAGGACCCCCAGAAAAGGCTTGATGGAACCATGAGATAGAACAAGAATGTATGTAGGGTGGCGCTCCAGAAGTGGTGATCTGGGCTAAGGAGGTGTTGGAAGAGAATATTATCAGACACCCGCGTGTGATATAGTTGTGTAGTAAACTTGTTTTCGAAGAGCCCTAAATTAAAGTGTGCACCTTGGCTGCCAGCTGCTAGGCCGACAAGCAGATGCTGGAGAGCGTAGGGTCAAAGTTGAAGTTGAAGGTCGGGCAGATGGGAGCTTCTGGTTTTGCCTCAGGGCCTCAGTTTAGTGGCAAGGGCTCCAGGTTCAACCTAAGCCTCAAAATTACCTAAACACCTGGCCCAATTTTCTTCAAATATGAGTCCTTCGAGCCTTAGGGCTAGTGAACAGTTAGCGTTTACACTTTACACATGGTTAATTGAATCTCATGCAATCTGACGGAATCTGGGTCATGCCTGACAGGGCCCTAGTATCAATAACAGCAAACGTCGAGCTAAAGACCCACATGAGCTACAGTCTAAACTCCTTTTATCCCCCTAGTTCGGGGTTATATTGGGAGCGTGGAAAAGAAAATGGAAACTACTATTTAGGGTTTAGGCTTTAGGGTCTAAACTCCTAGTATCCCCCTGAAAAATGGAGAATCAAAGAGAAAAGAAAATGGAAAATTAAATGGAAACTGGGATTATAGGAGATTGTAGGGATTATAGTCTAAACTCCTAGTATCCCCCTTGAAAACGCCTATAGTAGTCCCATATATAATCCCTGATATGACTCCTTTCAAGGAGTTTAGACTACAGTTCAAATCTCTAGTACTACTACTCTATTTCTGTATTAGTACTGCATCGTTGCGATTATTCCTAACAGTATTCTTCGTGTTAACACCAGAGTCATTATTATTGAGCCACAACGCATGAAAGTGCTTGGAGACCAAGAAGCTCCGCACATCCGGAGGAAATGGGCTCAGGGCTGCAGGTTTTGCAAAAAAGCCTCAAGTTTTCATGTTATCCTATAGTATAGTATACTGTAGTATATTAGAGTATACTGTAGTATAGTATAGTATGTTATAGTATGATATTGTAAATTGTAGTATATTGTAGGGATAGTGGAAAAGAAAATGGAGACTGCTACATTCTAATAGGTGCATTGCTCAACTCAGTGGTCTGTTTATTGATTTACGCAACGTAGCTGCATCTATCCGACTTTTGAAAACCACGGGTTTCGATTTTGACTAGCCTTGGAGCTTAAGACAGATCATCCTGTGCTACCCAAACTGACATGGAAAGAGGGCCCCATTGTCCCGTACAAAAGGGGTTACATGGGGTTTCAGCTTAGTTTGCTGGAGGACATGGGCTAAGCATGGCTAAGCCCCTTCAGGGCTTGGGGAGCCTCGTCTCCGGGGATTGAGGGGTTCAGGAATTTTTCTCCGCGGTCCCAGGAGACTCACCCTTTATCCTGAGAACTGCTGTTCAACGCAGCAGTGCCCTAAACTCCAAACTCGTAGCAGGTCAAGGCCAAGAAGGGCGCGAAGAAGAAGTCCAAGGCAGTCCGGGCCAAAGGGGATGAAATGATAGGAATAGCGCACTTGCACAGGTAAGGTGTAGGCGGTTTTTGGTCCCCTCAGCCTGAGGTACAGTAGAGAAATCTCAAAGGGTTGAAGATGCTTCAGTTGCCCCATCACGCTTTCCCCACTTGCCGCGCGCCCTCTCAACCCTTGCCCCACTCGCCCCCGCGAGGCAAGTGAGGGGAAGTGTGCTGCGAGTGGGGCGACGGAAGCTAGCGGGTCAGGGCCCCCCTATGCCTACATTCTCCGATAGTTACTTGTGAGACAGAATTAGATTTTTTTCGTTGTGTAGGTCTTCATGGTATAGGGCTCGGAATATCCTGGCATGAAATAGCTGTTTCATGTACTTCTGGCCTGGAAAAGAGTTGGGTATGCGTGCCGCGTTCGAAGACCATACTCCATCGCCCCCCCAAACTAGACAGAACATAGCAATCCCGCAGGCAGAGTACTTTGTAATCATGACGAGTTGAGTCGTTTCAAAAGCGCGCCGCATAAAAAGGGATTGTAAGCCTCTGCCTGGGCCTCTACAGGTTTCATTCTGGCAAACTCTCAAACGGTGGGATGCTTACAAGCAGGGCTTAGGAAGGTCAGCCTTGGAGGCGTCATGGCCATTACTAACAAGGCTTTGGCAATCCCAACCCATCGAATTAGGATTGCATGATAGTTATAGCGTCTCATTTTTGGGGTGGTTGGTTACCAAAATTCCCTTTTCTAGCTACATCAAAATCAGCATAGCAACAGCAGGATCGCCGCGAGGAAGTGAACCCATTTCTTCCACAAGGCCTTCGCATTTCAATGTGGTCGCTTCATAAAAATGTGCCCTCTAGATTCAATGTGGAGGCTCTTGTAGTCCCTACCTTTCTTTAACGAAACTCATGTAAGGAGCCGAATCAGGCCTGATGTAGCCATCTTTTGCACATAGGCATTGCAGCCAAATGGCCGGAACAC